TATATATATATATATATATATATTCTAATATCTGTTGGTTTAAGAGCTTTCAAGACTACCTTAATTTAACAACTAATCACATATGGGCATTCATCTTGCTCCTAGATCATTCAACATATAAGCAAGCGCATGAGTAAGAACAGAGAAGAGAAGGACCTTTAAGTAGCTTTCTTCAAATATATTTTTCGGTTCGGAAGCAGCAATTACAGGAAAATCCAATGCCGAAACTAGAACATCAACCAGAATAATCAGCAGGAATCCATGGATCAAAGCTCGAATACGGGACTATAAACCTCGACTCCTCAAACAGGAGCCAAATCTCATGCGAAACCCATTTTGTTTCGCTCGCTTTTTCTTGAAATCCAGCTTAAGGTAAAACGAAGCTAATATATTGTATGTGATTTTTCAGATCTGGATAGCTAAAGATGAAACTAAAAGTGAAAATATTTTTTAACGGGTCCTTAGAAAGTAGAACTAAGAGGAAAATAAATTAAAAAATCTTTTTTGGAACATTTTCTTCGATCGAACTAAAAAGATATAAAGAAAATCCTTTATTTTGAACTTCTGCTTCAGGCCCCCCTTGAAATTTGTGATGAAGCCCCCTTTTGTGAATAGTGCCCATGATTTTTTATGTGCCCCCCCCCCCCAGAAATTGTGCTTGGGGAGGAAGCAAAATGTTAAAACTATGTGGTCCCCACTGTGCAATCAAAATAGTATCGTGTCCATAAATAGAATTGTAGTCTGTGATAAGTTTGTTGGAGGAATTATCTAGAAGGGTGACATGGGAAAAGGTGAATGGAAGTTGAGAAAAAAAAATATAAAAAAAATAAAGAAAGAAATATAAAAAAATGAAAACGAGACCACTTCCGTTCTTTCTTTTCTTGATTTTACCTTTGCTTTTCCAGTTCTTTGGTTTCATTCTTATCGTTTTTCTTCTTCTTCTTCTTTTTGTTTTGTTTATTTTTTCTTTTATTCTAAATATAATTCAAAATACTATTTTTATCTAAAATAATAGGGAATAATTAAAAAGGAAAACAAGATAGTCATATTAAAGAAATTTAAATACTACTCAATATATACTAAAGTCTACAACTTTAAAACTAAACTAAGTATATATATTTTTGAAAATTTCCTTCTTATCTTTTGGGAATATAAAATGTCAGCACTATTTTTGCATTATTTTTTCAATTTTATGAAAAGTAAGAAAAACTAAAAGTTACTAGTCAAAATAACAATTTGCTCATAAAGGAAAATATTTTTGTAATTTTCATTGTAAAGATAAACTAAAGCAAAAAGTCAAAAATAATCAAAATACTGATACTAGACGTAAAATAAATATCTAAATACTAAAATGAGTAAATTTTCAGGTATGGTTAAAAATTACATGTCTACAAATACTGAACTGAATACCTTAAACATACCAAGGCCTTTCTGATACTCGGGTTGCTTTAAACACACAAATAACAAAACACAATGCTAAAAATTGGAGATTAACATACTGAATCAATTATATTATCTACGTACCGTGTAAAACACTGAATATTAGCTAGATTAATTGAACATAATAACCTTGAGTCATGACATGTTATTTAAGAGAAAAGACTTCAGCTAACCTTGGCTTTAAAAGAAAAAAATAACAACTACCATTGTTAATACTTAGTTATGAATTGTCAAATGATTGTAGGCCAGCAAACCCTAGTAAAGACCACATAAACTACTATAGTTGTTTGATAGTTTTAAAATTATCAAAAAACCATACATGGCATAACTAAGCTAACCTGATCATTCATATTAATACTAAGTTTAGGTTAAACATCCAGATTCAGAATATTTACAAAAACAAAATGCTAAACCAAATAAACTGCAAATAACATACATTTTTGACAAAGATGAAATTATAACTTTAACGCCCAAACTCGCTACAAAAAACATACATATGAAGCTATAACTTTAACACTCAACCTATTATTACAAAACAAGCTAAAACATGCTTTACATCCTCATTTGCCATTCTGAAGTTCATAAGAGTACCTGGATACCAATAACAAAACAAGAATGAGGCAAGAATTTCAGCAAACAAATGAGTGAGGACAACAGCAAATCAACAACAGGGCACAACTTCAAATTAGTCCATATTCAACCCAAAAAAAAAACCAAAAACTCAGCAGAAGTTTCTAAATCCTTGTTAAGAACCTCAGAAAGGAATAAACTAACTCCTAATGAAATAGTGCAGAAAAAAACTTTTTAATCTTTATGGGGGTCTGAAAGTCTATATCCGTCTGTCAAATGAATGAAGAAAAGGTGCTTTTTATAGGTTTCAATGTCATGTGCTAGAAAATTATTTTGGAAATTTCCCCTATCAACCTGAAAAGGGCATCTTGTAACAACCTGGGACAACTGGCTCCCCCTCATTGGTTTCAGCATTTTGTGCTAACCAAATGAGGTCAGCTGCCCCCTATTCTAAAACCTTCCACCTTAGTCTGGGCCAATTGCCCTGGCCAACTCACGGCCAAATGGCCTCAAATAGGCCCAAGTGCAATAACAAAGTTCAATAGCAATCAGGCCTTAACTGATCAGGCCTTAATTGGCAAAAACAGAACCAAATATCAAATTAAACAAAAATCATCACTAATTACCCTAGCAAAATCATTTGAACCTTCTGAACATAATTAGCTAACAATTAAATCTAAATAAATAGCAGAAAATCTAAGAGGTCTGCAATATTAAGCATAACTTTATTTAAATTACCCTAAAACATATTGTAATTAGCCATTCACACCTCCTTTTTACCACCCAAGGGGGTATATAAGGGAGTTTTTTCAATTAAAGTGATATAAATCGAAATGGGATTACTTTATTTATTTTCAAAGTCGTCACTTGGGATAATTTATTTGATGTCCAAAACCGGTTTATTTTTAAATCTCAAATCGAGGAGAATCGACTTTATTTAAAAGTCTGCGAAACCAGAAATCTAATAAGGAATTCTGTTAACCCGGGAGAAGGTGTTAGGCATTCTCGGATTCCGTAATTTTAGCGCGGTTGCTTAGCAATTTATACTCGGCTTATTTTGTCTAATTACTCATTTTAGGACCTATGTTTATTTTATCTTTTACCGCTATTAATACTTGATAATCCATATTTAAAGAATTAACTTAAGATGAGTTACGCGTACGTATACTCATTCCGTTTGGCGTGTCAAAAATTATGTCACGCGTATGTGTCCACAATTAATCACACTTTATTATTATTAAGAATATTTGGCTAAGGTTGCGCGAATATATTTTCTCAAGCAGCACTCAAGATGCCATAAGAAAGTTGTTGTGACACAATGGGTCATACAAGTCATGACAAGCCATGATCATTGTAAAGACATAACCTAGCTGTATTGAATTATCCTAAAATCCAAATTCATGGAATCCAAAACCTAAATTGCCAAATATTCAGGAAACGCAAATTTGGAATGGTATCTCTGCAGTATAAAATAGTGATTGAACACTATTTTGACCAGTGTTTATAATCTACTATCTTGTTTTACATAATATGCAGATCATATCAATGTATATAATACAAAACAATTCTATTTAAACAAAAAATAGGAACACCCCCCTCCCCCTTAAAATAGACTTCAATTTGCAGTGCACATGAACATACATCTAGCAAAAGAACGCCAAAACAGTAAAAATCTAAATTTTCGCATTTCATGGCAAAACAAAAGAATTGATCCTTTTTTTTTTACAGAACAAGAACTTGAATTCAAAGATGAATACCTGATTATGCGCGAACTACTCTATGCGTACCAAATAAAGGCTAGACAGAAGGGAAAATGAAGCTCGGCAAGACAAAACTAGCTACGACAACAGGGATAGCAGAAGAGAGCTTATATTCTCAGTTGAAAATTTGATTGAGGAACCAGAATTTGTATAAAAATACAGTAGAAAAATGCAACAACTTTATAATCTCTTTCCATGATGTTTCTTTGGATTTTTCTCTATAATTTTTCTTGTATTTTTTAGATTAGGAATCCTAAGTTTGTCCACTACTTCCTCTCTCTTGTGTATGTGGTTGTCTTCTAGGGTAATCAAAGGGGTACATGGCTGATCTCTAAGGGTTAGGGATTTTAGGTCTTAGGTCTATTTTTGGAGAAGATGATGAAGAAGAAAGGAGGGGATGGTCGTTTGTCTATGTTCAAGAGCAGAGAGGAGTCGTTCATCTCTCTTTAGAGAGGGGGAGATCTGATATTATCTCTAGGTCTAAGAAAATATTTTTTTATATGTAGGAGGTAGGATTTTAGTAAAGGGTAATGGCTATTTGGGTAGTGAGCTGAGATTGTATGGGCTTGGGTAATTTGAGATTTTTGGGCTTCAAAATAAGCTGGCCTAGACGAAATTAAAAGACCAAATCTACTTTTTTTTTTCTTTTTTTTTTCTTTTGATTTAAAAAAATCTAATTGAATTAACTAAACAAGCTAAATAAAATCCTAAATTAGGCTCTACCTTAAACTATTTTGTAAAGTTAATCTTACTTATTTTCACTAATTTAAAACTAAAAGCTAAAATGTAGATATGACTATTGTAGTAATATTTTATGATTTTTGTTTAATAAAATTAATTCCTACATGCAAATTGGACCTAAGATGACATGAAATTAAAACGTGATATTTTTTTATGATTTTAAAATATTAAAAATGCATGACATGCAACTAAATAAAGAAAAAACTCCTAAAAATCAATTGAAATTATTTTGGTCTATTTTTGGGAGTTATTTTCATGTAGGGCAAAAATTAGGTACTCACAGCTATCTCTCTTTACTCGGAAACATGAAGAGTTGGGCAAAGATAAAGTGAGCAATTACGAGCAATTTTTGCCCGTTTGAAACTCCATTTGGAAGCATTTTGAAAAAGTTTGACCGAACCTTGCTTCAGAGGTTGCTTACATATCCTTGGCTATAAAGGAATCAGGTCGGTGTAGTTTTGGAAGTTTTGGTAGCTGTGACTACCAAAAAAATGTGATTTCACTGCTGTTGCTGTTGTTTCTGCTTGCTGAGTTCCTTTTTACACCAAAGTGAAATATGAAAAGCTAAACTAGCTAAGCCTATCAACTACGAGTTACAAGATTCCTATCTATAAATCTTCTAAAGCTTGATCTTGAGTCTTGAATGGTTCTTTCTGCAGACTCTGATGATGCTTGTTAGTTGCAACCGCTGGTTCATTCTTCTTCAGTTTTTCGGATCAAGGCGGGACAATGCAAAACTTATGACTTTAATCTTATCTTGGGCAGTCTGCATCTTTTCTCCACTTCTACACTTAGAGTTCAACTTCTTTTCTTGTTTCTTCTTTTCTTTTATATGGGTTGAGACTTCTTATTTTGGTCATCTCGAACCTTGTGCCTCACGGTGAAAACCTATTCAGGCACCAAAGCAAACAAACAAACGAAATTTTCTGCCCTAGTTTTCACTAGAACAATTTCTTGAGTTATTCATAAGAAAAATCTAAACTATTTCTTTATTGAAAGTAATAAAATCAGGATTGTGTATCCTTGGGAAAAAGAGATTAGGGAGTGGAGCCCTATATTTATAATAAAATCAACTAGGGAGTGGAGACCCTATGTTGGAAAAGAGACTAGGGAGTGGAGACCCTATATCTAAACTAAAACCAACTAGGGAGTGGAGACCTTATGTCTAAAATAACTTCAACTAGGGAGTGGAGACCCTATGTTGGAAAAGAGACTAGGGAGTGGAGACCCTATATCTAAACTAAAACCAACTAGGGAGTGGAGACCTTATGTCTAAAATAACTTCAACTAGGGAGTGGAGACCCTATGTCTAAAATAACTTCAACTAGGGAGTGGAGACCCTATGTTGGAAAAGCAGAATAGGGAGTGGAGATTCAATGTCTAAAATAAAATCAACTATGGAGTGGAGATCCTATGTTTGAAAGCGACTAGGGAGTGGAGACCCTATGTCTAAAATAACTTCAACTAGGGAGTGGAGACCCTATGTTGGAAAAGCAAACTAGGGAGTGGAGACTCTATATCTAAAATAACTTCAACTAGGGAGTGTAGACCCTATGTCGGAAAAGCATACTAGGGAGTAGAGACCCTATGCCTAAAATAAAATCAACTAGGGAGTGGAGACCCTATATCGGAAAAGCAGACTAAGTGGAGACCCTATGCCTAAAATAAAATCAACTAGGGAGTGAAGACCCTATGTCGGAAAAGCAGACTAGGGAGTGGAGATCCTATGCCTAAAATAAAATCAACTAAGGAGTGGAGACCCTATGTCGGAAAAGCAGACTAGGGAGTGGAGACCTGATCGCTGCCAACTCGACGCTACACTAAGGTAGAAAGAGCAGGTTGCAATAGCTTTTACCCGATATGAGGGTCGGGATCGATTTCCTCAGGGAGCTGTCACACCTCCTTTTTCCGACCCCGCGAAGGGCGAAGGAGTTTTTTCCAATTAAAGGA